GTATAGGGTTTGGGGTGCAATTTCCGCAGCATTGCTAGTATGATCCCGGTATGCATTAATCATTTATTTCTCCCTCCGCCCAACAACAGCTTATATAACTAAAATTACCTTTTCTGAAGGTAATATCCTAAAACTAAGTGAACATAGGTGCGTATGAAAAGTCTGCCCAGTGACTGTATGGTCCTGTTTTATCATGCAAATAAAGAAAATCTCAAAGGCTTGCTGTAAATGCCAATGTTATATGTTTTATTTTTAATCAAGTAATTCTTTTAAACCTCACAATATCCATGACTGACAGGAAAAAAAGACATTAGGCATGAAATGAGAATATAAAATACATGATATGTAGAAAGGCAATCAGTGCTTTAGTCCCTCAAGACAGTAAGCAGGTGAAATGACCTTCAAAACTTCAACTTGCTGTCTTTTCTTAAAACATAAAATTCAAGTGATTTTTCTTTTATTTCACCTTGTAAACAACATACAAGTCAAAATGGACAATGAGGTAATCTATACTACAGAAGATAATTTAAAAACACTAGATAAGACACAGTATTAAAGACATATAGAAATCAGTGTTCACTTTGGTCTCTAGTATGGTTATTGTTATTATTACCACAAGCAACACATACTAGTTTAAGCCAGTCTGGTGATGTTTGTCAGCCAGTTGTTTAACTTAGTAATCCAAGAGGTAGTCAAAACCATTATCCTTTGTAAAGATGGTTGCTCTTACGTTTGGTTCAATGACAATGGTAGCAAATACCTTGGTACTTTTCAACATTCTCGTAAAAACACTGCCGAAGCTGCTAATACACAGCTCCGGTTTAGTATAAAAAAAGAAGCGTGTGTTCATAGATCAACCTCTTGTCATCACTCAACAGTTGTAACAGGGGTAACACAACCAACGGATCTTAAAGAAGAGGCTGTTGATATACTAAGCAAAATAAGATTGATGCATTTAACAAGGCTCTGCTTGTTTCTAAAACAACACTCAAATCTCATTAAGACTTCTAGAAAATTAAAATCAGTGCATCTGCACATGTACATATCTTCCCAATTACTTTTATATCTAGCACAGGGGAATACATATATATTTTTTTTATGATAAACCTTTCTTACAGATAAATTAATTAAATTAAATTTAAGACTCGATGAGATTTCCCATGTTCTTTTATAATTCTTCTTACAAAGAATGTTACAAGATCTATAAACACTTTTTATGGGGCTCTATTCACAAAACTAAGTACGACTAAGCAGGAACTCCAGGATAACACTGGTGCAGAGTAAAACTGGGCTGAAAAAGGTGGCCTGCAAAGGGAAGAGGTAGGATCCAAATGTGGTGTTTGGCACTCCCTGAAAGCTGGCTAAAAGCAAAATATTGCAAATGGTATTACAACGCCAGATTTACCATCAACTGCAGCAAAAAGTTATTTGGCTCTTCCTCCAAATACAAGTCTTCCTCGTGGCCTAACTTGTGGTGTGTAAATAAATACCGTGACCTCTCCTTGGCGGAAGAGTGAAAAATACCTCACAATGTCCCTTATGGTTAAATCAAATTGAGTATTTTGGGGTGGGGGAATGGGAGGGAGAGATATTCTTGTTCCAGGTTTAACCTTATCTCCACTATTGTTAGGAGAAAAATGCATCTCTCTCAGCAGATATTTGAACTATTTCTACTCAAACGAGTTTTATTGTAAAGCATTCTGGCAAGGACAGGCTGGTGAATAGGGGAAATCTAGGCTGAGCCAATGCTGCAGAATATTAATTTTGTCCTTAGACATGAAGGAAGAATCCCAAACTCAGTTTGTGGCCTTCTCCTTCAAAGTGTTCTTTGCTTATTTGGAGCAGCCTATTGAAGGAGTATAACTAGGTATTTTTTTTCTACTGCAGCCCAGTGCTAAGTAGTTACCTGCCGCAGCTTGCGCTGCTGTATGTTTAACTTGGGCATGTACAGTTTTGTCTCTTCTGGAGATATATTAATTTTTGTGAACAGTGCCCATAATCCTTTAGACAGAAAAATAAAAACTTTCAAAGAAATGTTTGGAAACGTCTCATAATTTCAAATGGATGCTTCATCTTAAAACAAGTATTTGCCATAACGTATGCAGTGGTGAACTATCAGTTACATATTTAGTACAGATAAAAAGTATGTACCATAGATCAACAGCCACCTTTAAGGCTAGAGCAGCACAAAGGTGTGTTTATGCAGTAAATATGAGGTAGCCTTTTGCTGTAAACAGAATAATAATTTTATTGTCACCTATGTAAACAAAGTGGGCTTGATGCTTTTGTGTTTTTATTCTTCCCCCTCCACCCCCCGTCCCCCATCCCTCCCCTCCTAGAAAAGCTAAGCACCAGTAACTCCGACTGGAAGTCAGTGGGAGCTGTGGCTGCCCAGCATCTCTGAAAACTCAGACCCTGTGAATGTAAAGACACAAATGCTCACATAAGCAACCAGTACAGAATACCACTTTATCATTTCACAGGAACTTATAATACAAAATGCTGAGATCTGATTATCAGAAATGTCGGTCTATGTCAACTCAGAGGTAGTTACTAAGATCAGTACATAATACTTATATAGAGATAAAAAGGTCTAAGACTATTTGGTTTGTTCTGAGTAAGCAGGTCTGTAGACTATTCTGTAAAGAAAAAACAACGTTACATGGTATATTCCCTGAGCAAAGTTCTTTGTCCTGAGTATGTTATGTAATAGTGATAACATTCTAATATATAAAAATAAAACCTTAAGCTTTCAACAATAAGATAGGGTTTGGTATGTGCTCTTAGCAGTTCAGTCTGACTCTGGTGCGCACAGTGATTTCAAACAGCACCAATAAAAATCTGCATGTTGAAAATATTTCCTTATCTCAGCTCTGAACTTCTTACATATAAACAGGGAATGACCGGTTTTCAAATCCACAATTGCCTATTTCTATAAGGAACTTTGGTTTAAATTTTCAAAGTGACCTAAGTTTTGCATCTTTGCTGTTTAACCTGGTTTTTACACCGGCTAGAAGGTTAAGCAATGCCACTTTGATTTGTCTACATAATTTAAATAAGTTTACTATCCTCACGTAAGGCAAGGAAGTTCTTCTCTATAGATTATATCACATTCAATATCGTCAAAGGTAAGCTTTGCATTAGCATATTGAGAACTTCAGTATAAACCATCAAGATTCTCGCAAACACTGGCAAGGAATTCACGCAAAATAATTTTCTTGAAATTGTGCCCTTCACTGAGGTGTTTGATTACTACCTGTTTACTGAAGCAGCAGCAGCAGCAACAGTAAAAGTCTCACCTGGCAGGACAAGTGGGAAGGGGAAGGCCACGTAATGAGCCAGCTGCACACCTGTTGTTAACTATTGGCTGTGAAAGAGTTACCATGGGTAGGACTTTGGCTCGCTGTAGCCTTTCATGCAGGCTGTTTCTTTAGTTTGATTATCTGAGCTTAAACCTACCTGACCCTTTCAAGCTTTAACAGCCTGTGTTTATTGCCGATGTTAAGGATTATACAGGTTTCTCTAATTAACTTACACCTGCAATGGGATTTGTCAAAGTACGTTATCTTATGTATGACTTAGTAATTCAGAAGTTAAAAATGGAAAGCGACTTCAAGTTTTGATAGGCTCCAACTCTATTAACCCTGAGCAAGGGCTGCAGCCCAGGGAGTCTCACTCTGAGGCCACCAATCTTTCTCCTCTTTAATGCAGAAGTGTGTGGTCCCAGCGCACTCTGGACCAAGGCTGGTCAGCAACAGTCTCCAGTTCACAAGAAGCAGATGATGCCCAGGGCTTCTGGCAAATTTGCAGGTCCCTTCACTCAGGCTTGTCTGCAGCAGACACCTGTCCTTCTTGACTATACACATGCTGTATCATCAGCAAGGAAGGCTGTCTGAGCAACTGCAAGTACCCACCTACCTTTATTCTTAAGAAACTATTTATCCCAGGATCTCATTAGCTTTGCATTTTGTTTTCTTTAAAACCAAAACAGACAACAACAACAACAAAAATCCCGAGGGAGTTCTCTCTATGGCATTTCAACAGAAAACAAGGGGGAAGTCCCTTCAAATTGAGGGGCACTACTTGGGACCAAGAGAAGTTGCTGCTGCTGCTGCTGCTACTACTGCCACCAAGGTCCCCTAAAAGTTCACAGAATACAAAGGGTTAAACAGGATGGTATCCCGATACTGCTCAAAAGGGTCTGTTCGGCAACAACTTATACATTCTCCCCTACACAACAGTCATCTAAATTACAGTTACAACCATATTAATTTAACAAAACATTTTGAGAAACCAGCATGGAAACTACACATTCATTGTCTTTTCTGGAGCTTCGAACTCCTCACCAACAAAGGATGGTGGCAATGAGAGCTGTGTTGAGTTGTGACACTGCCCTGCATGGGCATGGGGAGGGGTTTTGCTACTTTGAGGAGATGAGAAAGAAAATAACTCAAATCGATGGCATGGGGGATGTCTTAGTATCTTTAGTACCATATGGCAGCTTTAAAATATGAAAGTATCCTTTGGTTCACAAGAGAAGTAACAGTCTTGATCTCAGTTCTGTGTGTGGTTTTTCAGGTTTGGTTTGTTTTTGAGTGAGATTTCTTGGGTTTTCTTGTTTGTTTTTTTGAACACGTTTGGAAATAGGTTCTAGGAATGCGTTCAGGAACGTTTGTGGATACTGTGCCTATTGCTTCACAGTAATGTCTTGTGGGAGCTGGAGAGTGGACTGATGGAAAAAAATATATTTATAGATATGTACACATACACACACGCGCGTGCACACTCATACACACACATACAGAAGGTAAAACGTAATGCACCCTGCTCAAATGTATTTTGCTTGGAGTGATTTGTCTATTAAAGAAAAAAAAATTCACAGTTCCTCAACAGTAGTTAAAATTCCAGGTCAGCTACTGATAATGAAATAATTTCCCCTGTACTTGCATGAGGTAGACATCCCAAGAGGATAAAGAAAATGGAAAGTTATGACAAACGCTTTAAGTTTTTTTCCTTTTCTGAACAGAAGGCCCCTTTCTGCTCGGTTCTTCGGGTGACGCAGACAACTTACTCGACGAAGCCTCCTGTGGTGACCTGCCTGAGCGCTCCGAGATCTCCAACCTGCCCTCCTGCGAGTAAGATGGAGACGAGTAGCCGTGTGTTCCTCCCCCTTCTCTCGGGAAAGCAGAAGTGGAAGGCTGCAAGGTTCAGCTTCGTGTCTTCCCTGAGAACTAGTGGGCTGCTGCGAGATAGTTTTATGGGGGCAGTTAGCCACCATGTGCATGATGCTCTGACAGTAATGGCACTTCTTTGGCTGCGGAGGTAGACTACATTCTTTAGCGTGGTGGTCGAGGCCACCACAGTTGTAGCATCTAAAACCAAAGAGAGACAGCTTAGTTATAAAATGCAGCGTTAAACGGTAAGATTTTCTACATCAGGTAAGCTCAGCATGAGCGTGCACAAGGTCTGATGGTGAAACAGCGGGGGCTTCTGCACTGATATCCCACTGCCACGGTCTGAGGTACATTTGAGTTTTGCTTTTTAAGTCACTTGGAAGGTGCCCCTTTGTCGCAGCGGTTCCAAAAAACACCTTGTGCTTGTGGCCGGGAACCTTTTACCGGGAATACCAGCCTGCCGGCTCAGCTCTCCCCACAGGGCCGCCGCCGGGGCGCGGCCGCCGCCTCCCGGGCAGGGCCCCGGCACTCGGCCCCACTAGAGGGCACCAGATCATCAAGCATCCCGCTGCATTTATAGCATTAAACGCCTGCGAGTACTAGTGTTTCAACGCCTGACAGGACGAACATCGCAAAGCAGGGCGAGGAGAGGCGGCGAGGCAGGCACCAGCACCGGCCTCCTCACCCTGAGGTGGCTTCACCCGGAGGTGGCTTTGCTCTGCGTGTGCCCATCGCCGGGTCAGGGCCATAAAGAAACGTGCAGAGAGGAGATATTCAGCCTCAGATGGCGTAACCATGTCCTAATGGACGCGCTGCTTTCAGCCAGGGAAACCCAAACATGGAGGAGGGACGTGGTGCCCTGTCACTAGCCAGGCTCTCGCCCCGGGGCCCTGCACCTTGCTGTCTCCAGCTCAGCCAAGGCACGGCGAGCAGGGGTGGGGGCCAAACTTTTACAATGCTTATGTTGCAGAGGGTTTGTAATGGCATTTACGGTTTCGATTTAAAAGAAAATAAATAAAGACCCAGCAAGAGTCATAAAACAGGGTTCGTTTGTTTTCTCTCGAAATTCCCAAGCCGCGTGCATGTGGTGGTGACCTGGGGTGCCATCTTCAACAGGACACGGCTGCCCAGGAGCTGACGGGCGCAGAGTGCCTCCTCTATGCTGCACGGGCAAGGCCTCCTCCCCAGTTCTCAAAAATGGCTAAAATCCACTAAATACTCTTCTATTGACCCTGTTAGGCAGGGGAGTCTTGAAGAAATCTCCAGCAATTCCTTACTGAATCCTCTCACTTTGTAACACACGCCAGGAACGCCAGTCCTTGGATTACATTATTCTGACACATGATACGAAGAAATAATTATATGCCTTTGGTATGGTGATCCGATGCCGGTCATGTTCACCATTGAGCTTTCTATTTTGTCTATTTTTCTATGGTTTCCGTTTCTTTGTTTTATAAAACTTGCACTGAATGCATAGAAATTTAATTTATTATAATTTAACACGCTACTGGAGAGAACTAAACCAAAAATGGCAATTTTTATTGCTTGCCCTTAACCATCAACTAAATTAAAAAACAATTGCACAAGTACTCAGGCCTGGTGGAGTCAACTGAAGGATTACAAAATACTGTAACTAAACTAACTAGATGTACAAAATAGCGCAACATGTTCTGGCACGAGCCCACGTCCAATTATTTTAAATTTTCAGATTCCTGGAAAGTAACAAGGCACTGTTTCAGCTAGCATTTAGTGGTCACTACTAGTCTATACAAAACCAAGAAGTTTAGTCCATGCAAAGCTGTATGTACAGCTGGAGTCTCATCTACAGAATATACTTCACCTTCCAAAGAAATGCTATTGATAAACCTGGTGTAATTCTTAAAAAGATTGCAAAATTGCTGTTAACACTTGCAAATCCATTCCAAGAAACAACCCCCCCCCCTCCAGCACCTCCCTCTTCATCTCTCTTCTTCACTATTAGCAAGATACTAACCATATCTTTATTTTAACAGACAAATGAAAAAACAGCATAAGTTGCCCATGGCATGCTGTCATGTCCTACAAGACTGACTTATAATTTAGAGAAATTAAATGATGAACAGAACTTCATTATCCTTTCAGAAAACATTGTAATTAAATTGTCATATCTTCCCTAAAAATTAGTAAGAAACAAGAAACCAAACCCATTATACTGAACTCTGCACTTCTATGACAACTGCAATAACATATTTTAGGTGAACTGGTTCCATTTTTATGTCACCACTGCACAGAAGTTTTATGTGATTTTTCAGTGGAATTTGAAGGCTATGCTTACACTAGTCTTTCTGCATATACTACAAAATAACCCATGAAGAGACACAATATAAAGCTTCCCTTGAATCAAGCAGAAAATAACATGTACAAGCCCCATTGTCACTTAGTATTGATTTCCCTAGCAAGGACATACTAAACATGTTGTAAAATACAAACATCTTGATCTAAGACCAAAACATCAAGCTTTTTCCCCCTATAATTAAAAAAAAAAAAAAAAGTTTTAAGTTATTAAACAATATCCATCTGACTACTGTTTCCCAAATCGTTGCAGATATTTTCAAGTTAGTGACCCCCCACTTAACAGTAGCATTCAGTCTTCTTAACTGGCATTCAGCTATGTTTCCCTGACAAGCTTTCTAAACACCTTCTGGATAAAATAATATGGAAGTAAAACTTGCAATTAGAAAAACAAAAGAACAGCAACAACAAAAACCCTTAAGTGTTTTACTTTACCCCTCTCCAATAAATACACCCAAGAATTCACAAATGTGGTATTTACTATAATTTAGGTAATATTAAAGAATGATGTTTATTATTATCTTCTTCATTGGTTTCTAGCAGTGTACTTGTTCCTGGGCTAAGTATAGTATAATACAGTACAACATGGGAGTGTGCAGACGTTCTGGAAATCGTGCATTTTATCTTAATTCAGAGTACAGAATTTTATAGCTGTGAATGCATTTGCACTTGCTTCCTTCCCTTAATATCACACGTATTTAGAGTGGCTTAAAAAAGAAAAAAGTTTGAAAATAGGTTAAAGAGCCTCAGTAGCAGGGTAGGCGGTAGCCATGGACAAATCAATTTAATCAGTCACTATGGTATGCACTGTGTTATCCAATTCAGTGAACCATTTCACCTCACCAATTGACCAAGAACCTGCTGTCAGGGCCCCTGCTTCCACTCAAGAGGCCTCCGTCACCTTTTGCATATATTTTTAGCAATACATCCTACTTGCAAACTATTGTAATTCCCTGCATTTATTCAAATCACTGCTAAAATGTCACCATAAAAGAAAAGTCTATCAGAAGCAGTTGTGATTAAACTATGATTTGGCTTTTCAGGAATGTTTTTTGTTACCAACCAACTCAAGCATCTGGCTAAAGTGTCGCATTAGAATATATATGTGCCAGCCGGGGTGTGCCTGGACTTAAACAGGAGGGTGGTATTTATTCAGTTCTTTTAACTATTTATTCATTCCTTGTCAATCACTCTTACCAGGAGAACAGATCACACCCCGCTCTGAAATGCCTTCCCTCTCAAGGGATTTACACCAAAATGGAAATGGTCAGCCACCTCAGAGCTCACAAATGATACCACATGGTATCATCCACGCGCATTAAGATATGGTATTAACCCTTTTCTCCAAAATTCTTCAACTCTTGGCTCCTCTCTGCTGTATATACTTACATTACAACATAATGAAACCTTACAGCATATGATACGCGCACATGAGCTTATACATCCACATCTCTATATCCATAAATACATAGAACAATATACAAGCTGGCTCCTGCTAAGAAGATTAGCAAATTCTCATTTGAGTATGTTGTCAGAAACTCGAGATTAGTACAACCATAACACGTATTTCTTCACTTCAGAAGCACCATGGAAATAATGTACGTCAGCTTAAATGCAACATAAAAGTTTATACGTAAATTACACCATATGAGATTAATAAACCACAGAAAGCCCTTAAAAGTGCAATTATAGTAGAATTAACCCTTACAAAAAAGCAACAGCAAGAAGGGTTTCTTAAAATCGGACTGTCTTTCTCACAGTAGGCTCCCATGATTTACTAGGTAGCTTCAGGCTCAAAAAATAATGCAACAGAGTAAATAAAGAGATGGCAATTATCCTAACAGGGAATCCTTTCTTCACTACAGCACTGACAGGAAGGTAGATCGGGGTGATTTTTTTTGATATAAGAAAGATGAACATTTTAATAAAGGAACACCTTGAGGAACTTGTCTAGCACTGTATTTCAATATTCTCAAGAAAACAGTAACATTAATACCTACTAATGAAGAAAGAAGAGAGCATATAGCAAGGTTAAAAAACACTTCCAAATTCTCCTTCACTATGGATTTGTGATTGCACAGAACTATATATATTAAAGGAAACATGAACAAGCAAAAAGCGTACAGATTCCAACATAAACTATGTTGTATTAATTGCAATAAGCCGATGACTGAAATTCATTAGAAGTACTCAATTTCACAACCAGATGCAAACGCAAAATAAAATATTCTCTAGTCTTCAGCTTTTTTCCTTGTCCCAGCAGTCAACTCCTACTTAGGAAGTACACCCTAGCCCTATCCCTTTTAAAACGACAATACCCCTGCCTTGCAAATACATTCGCCACAGTAACAGCTCAGCTGAGCTAAGCAGCAAGGAGGGTAAGCACAACTGCTTGCTTCTCCATGCTGCTTTATAATATGATTTAGATATAATCCAATATATATGACAAGTAGAGAATCATTTGTGTGGCTCCACGCTATTATCTGTTGAGAGAAAAAGCTTTAAAATTACCCCGATGACTGACTTTTTCTTGGCGGGGGGGAAGGGGAGGGGTTAACACCTAACAGGAATAGCAATGGGAAGAAAGGGGGTATAGTCAGAGGAAGACTAAAATAATTCACCAGGACATTCCCTACGCCAACCCCCCTCACCAACTCCCCTTTTGTTTTTCCTCTTTGAATGATATCAGACAACAAAAAACTGCATCTTGGCTAACAATGCTCCATCTAGCAATGTTAATGCTTTGAAAAATGGCATGGTATTCTAACAGCATGTGCAAGTGAGATGTTTTTACAATACACTGAATGCCAACTAAGCAGTTAAAACATAAAGGAAATGTTTAAAATTGTACCTAAACGTGCTGCCTT